TGACAAAAGAACGTTGCGCTAACTGTACAAGGGGAACTTCCAAAAGTTTGTGGGGAAATGCCATGATCTGGTCATTCAATTTTTCCTTCCAACTTTTTTTTTTTTTTTTGCAACAAAGCAAATATTTATTATAATTCTTCGAATGTTTGGAAAACTGCTAAACATTACAAAGCAAATAACCTCAGACTTTTTCCTTTTGGAAGCCTCTTTGCATGACCCCATGTATATGACATGTTTAGAACACGCACACGTCCAGGGACAAAGTGGGCTAGATTACCTGGGGCAGGTGGGAGGGGAAGCGGAATTGTGCTTTGAGGTTCAGTGTATGTTGTGGGGGCTGAAAAAGGTTAGGAAGCAGACAGTGCTAGCTGCACAGCACGGCCAATGATCTGACGCTGTGGACTTGTGGGCGTGAATGTGGCTAAATGTTGTTGAAAAACCTATTTAAAGCTACAAGACAAAACGCTATGGAGCACAGTTCTATTCTGACAGCAACAGGCTTAGTTTGGGTTAGACTTCAGACGCCCCTGCAATCTGGTGGTGTAACCTCGGGGACCATAAGCCCTTAACCCCCTGCACACCTGGTGGTGGAACCTGAGGACCCTGAGCCCCATCCCCCTGCACACCTGGTGCTGAAACTTGGGCCCCACCCTGCACCTGGTCATTGAGCCCCACGCTGATCATCACCATCTCTCCGACCATTTCAATCCAGCTGGTGCCACAGGGATTGTGTGAGTTGATGCCCCTCCGGAACCACACCTGGGGGAGACAGAGAAGGAACCATGGAAGGAAAAGGGTTCCTAGTTTCTTACAGCTCGGGACAATAAGTCCTTGAAATCTTTTAGGGGTAACATCTGCTACCTGCATACCCTCCTGCTCCTGACAGCACCCTGGGCTCTTGGAGGCTTCCAGCCCATCCTCTGCTGAAGGTGTTACTACTTCAGCAGACAAGTGGCCACCTGACTCTCCCTGGAACCTTCTCCAGACTGGAGACACTGTGGTGTTGCCTTCCTTCTTGGGACAAGGCAGGAATGAGCCAGTGAGGAAGGGACTTGTCTGTGGGCAGTGCCAGGATGGACACCAGCTACTGCCCCTAAGTCTAACCCTGTCCCTGACCCTAAAGTCTTAACCCTAGCCCCAAACCCCAACCACAGCCCTAAACCCTAACTCTAACCCTCTCTCTAAACCTGACCCTAAACCCTAGCTCCAAACCCCAGCTGTAGCCTTAAGCTTGAACTCTAGCTCTGACCCTAAACCTAAACCCTAATTTTAACCCTATACCTAAACTCTCTCTCGTCTCTAATATCAACCCTACAGTCTAATTCTAACCCTACCCCTTTAACCCTAACCATAACCCTAGCCCCTAAATCTAACCTAAACCCTCACATTTACCTAGCCCCAGCTGCTGACCCTTGACCCCTGGGCTGCCCTTCTCATTTCTCACACTACCACCCCATCAAGCGTTGTTGTTGTTAAGCGCCGTTGAGTCGGTTCCAACCCATAACGACCCTGAAACAGGGTTTCTGAGGCTGTAAATCTTTACGGGAGCAGAAAGCCTCATCTTTCTCCTGCAGAACAGCTGGTAGTTTCGAACTGTTGACCTTGAGGTTCGCAGCCCGATTCGTAACCACTACACTACCAGAGCTCCTTAACCACTACACTACACATCAAAAGCCAAGTTTCTGTTCTTACATGGTGCTGGGTTATTACAAGCCCAAGGACACACTGCACTGTCCTCCCTTTCTGTCACCTTATCTGGTCTCCCTTGTCCCTAGGGACCTGTCATCTCACACAGTCAGCCGCTGGCCTCCTTGGACACAATAGAGGCCATACAGCTGAGTTTGTCCCTCACCAGTGGGTCTGGACTCACTAAGAGAGACAAATGCTGGTCAGCTGATGTTCTCTCCTCTACTGCAGGGCTGTATGCAGCAGGTGCTTACTAACAGTGGAGTAGTTCGTTGAAAGGCTACTAGGCCCCTGACTGGGAGAGATGACTGTGGGAGAGACCTGTCCCCTGTCTTCCTTCATGGGGTGCTCACCTGACCTGAGCTGGTTCTTTAGGCTCCGTGGGATCCAGAACAGGTTGAGGAAGACTCAGCCTGGGGACCAGTCAACTGTGCCTCGGACTACTCAGGTGGCTGAGCTTGTTGGGACCCCCACTTTGGGACACAGCTCTGGGTACTCATGTTGGGGAATGGGCCCCAGGCCCCTCCTTCCTAGACCACAGTTTTGGGTGGTGGAGGCTTGACTGAGTGGGAAACACAGGCCCCAAGGACCTCCCTTTTGAAACCCCAGCTCCAGGTGCTGGGGGGCAGGCCACTCACATTTGGTCACAGGGTGATGGATGCTCCGGGGCCTCCAGGTCAGGGCTGGGCTCACTCACAAAGATGTCCCCCTTGCAGGTGACGGACCAGATGGCCTGGGGGGATGGGCGGCCGTGCACCTTCCGGCTCTCACAGCAGGATAGGCTGAGCAGGGCCAGCTGGTGGGGGAGACATAAGGTCAGGTAAGGGTGGGCAGGGCAGGGCAGGGCAGGGCGCCCCCCCGCCCACCCACCCACTCACCCAGTCATTCATTTCCTGCTCGGTGGCAGCAGCCAGGCATGCAGGCCACCTCTGCCGGGTCCTCTCGGGGGTATAGAGGGCAAAGGAGTGCTTGGCTTCATTCAGGACAGGCACCAGCACTGTCACCTCATTGAGAAACAGGTGGATGTACTGTTCAAAGAATGGGGTCACTGAGGGCAAAGGACAGTGCTGGGCAGTGCCACAGACTTGCGGTGGGGACCACCCAATTCTACAGCGCTCCTTCTGGGGGCCTCTGTGGTATGAGGATAAATTTGGCATGGAGAACATTATGGATGAACAAACGTGTATTTGCACATGGTCATTATTGGAAGGAATCCTGGTGATGCAGCAGGTTAAGTGCTGGGCTATGAACTGAGAAGTCTGCATTTTGAACCCACGAGCTGCACCAAGAAAGAAAGCGACAGCCGTCTGCTCCCACACAGATTTACAGCCTCGGGAAGTCTAGGGGAAGCTCCACTTGGTCCCATGGGGTCTCTCTCGATGAGTTGGAATAGACTTCACAGCAGTGGATTTCAGGGATAGGTTGATGTTAGTTACTTCTGGGGTCACTCATTTACATATGAGAGGGATGATTTTTAATTTGGAAAAACAGCACTGTCTTCAGTCAGACCCCCACTAGCTGTCCAGAGGGGGCACACTTTCTCTCATGTAGCTCCCCAGTCCACAACTTCTAAGAGTGGTCACCACGGGGGAGACTGTGGGTCTGCACTGAGGACTTGGGGATCCAGGGTCCCGAGCCCACTGCTCCAATCCTTCCATGCACACACCCTCCCCTCCTGGCCACCCATCCTGACGGTCCCTTCCCCAGCCCTGAGCACTCCGCACCTTCTTCTCCTCGTGGACCACGTAGTAGATGAAGAGGATGCTGTCTCGCACCCCGTCATGCCCCATAAACTGCTCCAGGGCCACACGCACGTCCACCCACTTGTGGGGCTTCCAGTCACACCACCACTGCAGTGCCCCTGTCTTCACCCACACGGACTGGGGTGCAGAGGGGAGTCACAGGTAGGAACCAACCCTAGAACCACCCTGCCCCTCCCCTCCTCAGGAGGCTCCTGTCCCCTTACCAGCTCCCCACTGCCAAGGATGCAGCCCTCACAGTATTCCAAAAGGGAAAGTGAGGCTAGACCACCCCACCAGATCTCTGCCCTACCTGACCAAGATGCCCAAAGCCCCTGGCCTCTGTGAGAATCACTTTGCCTTTCGCATACTATCCAACCACTGGTCCTGCCTACCTACCCTCCTGTCCAAGTCAAAGGGGTCCTCGTCCCTGAATCCATCACAGGCCCGAGACAGGGAAGGGCAGTGAACAGAGGGGGCTTATGGATGCCTACTGGGGGGATGGCACACAGCGGGCACCCATGGGTACCCATCAGGAGCTGGGATACACTGGGCAGCCGGCACACCTGCTCCACAGCCTGCTCATAGTGCCGGAAGTTCTCCAGCTCCCGCTTGGTCCGTTCTGTAAGTTGCTGGAAAATCTGCTTCCTCCAGGCGGCCGTCTGGGCCGGTGTCATGGGTGGCACCAGCGTCTGCACAGCTGGACACAGGCCTGTGGGGAGCGGGCCTAAGTGTCTGCGTGGCCCCCTTGAGGTCAGCCCCTGCACCCCAAACTACCAGCACTCAGGCAGTGGGAGGCCACAGACATTTGTTGTTGTTTTCGTAAGTCATTTTTCTCACCACGAAGCCTCATGAGCCCCTACGTAAACCATTCTGACTTGAGTATGGCTGGAGTGGGGAGAGGGTGTCAAGGGCAGGGGGACTCGGCTGGCCTTTGGGGCCATGGGCAGGCTGGCTGTGGGTTCAGGGACATGTGGTAAAGAAGCTGGGTGGCATGCAAGACACGGACAGCAAAGTGGGTCTGCTCAGAGCCTGAGGATCCCACCCCACGGCCCGGCTGTGGGCACCTCCTCTTCCCCAGCCCCTAGAGCATGGCTGCTTACCAGACTGGGCAGAAAACCACTTGAGTGTCGCATGGGTCTCCACAGCGCAGCCCCCTCCAGACACCCAGGCCCACATCGGATGGTCATCAGTGCTATATTGTTCCTCTAGGCCCCCTGGCAGAAGACTCAGGGAGAGCCTGGGGGGCTCAGCTGCTGTGTGGCTGGATGCCCTGCTGGGCTCCTTCAGGTCAATGTTGGTCCAGGGCAGCTCGGCCGGGGGGCTGGTGGCTGGGTCAGCCTGAGATTCCCCACCTGGGCCCCGGGCTGGGTCAGTCTCCTCCACCCCGGCTTTGGGCGGGCCAGGCCTTGGGTCCAAAGTCAGACTTCCCTTGCTGTCCAGAGAGTCTGCAGGATGTAGCTGGTCAGGTCTTAGTCGGCCCACTTCTGAGGGGACGTCAGCATCACTGGGGGCTGGTGACTCACCACTGCCCCTCACCTCATCACCGAAGAAGCAGCCAGCACTGGGGACAAAACAGGCAGACCTGTCACGCCCCAAAGGAGCCTACCCTCTGTCTGCTCCACCTGAGCCCTAACCGTCTTGGGTGACTGTGTGGGTCACCTCCTCTCCCAGCTCCTCCTCCGTGAAGCTCAACACATTAGGACCTGCTTCCCGGGATACACATGTGAGCAATCTGCAGAGCAGCTAAATCAGCATGTCTGCGAGCAGGGTGCTGGTGTTTGTAAATTGTATCATGGGAAGACATTGCGGTATTGTTAGGTGACATCAGTTGATGTCCACTTATAGTGACACTGTGTGACAGAGCAGAACCAACAGTCCCCTGGGGATTTCTAGACAGTCATCTCTATGGAAGGGGCCGTGGCGGCACAGTGGTCAAAGCGCTTGGCTTCCAGCCAGTGGTTCGTGGTTCGGCCCCATCAGATGCCCCAGGGGAGAAAGGTGAGACCGTCTGCATCTGTAGATTGGCAGCTGCAGAAAGCCTATGTTAGGGCAGCAGTTGTACTCTGCTTTATAATGTCGCTGTGAGTGGCATTTACTCCATGGCAGGGGGCGTATTTGATTTGATCTTTATGGGAACAGATCATCAGGTCTCTCTCCCATGGCTGGGTGGGTTTGAACCAGCAATCTTTTGGTTCGTAGCCAACTTAATATTGCTCCGCTGGGACGTGTCTGTAGTAAAATACATACAGCAAAAACTCTAGCCATTCAAAAATATGCATGTCAATGGGGTTGAGTACATTCAAAATATTGTACAACTACCAACTACTGTCTAGTTCTAGAACTTTTCAGTCAATCCCAACAGGAGTCCTTCTCTCCCAAGCCTCTGGCTTCCTGTCTCTGTGGATTTACTTCTTAAGAGTTTGTGGACATTTCATATGAATGGAATCATATGATGTATGGGTTTTATGTGTGGCTCCTTTCACTGAACATACTACACTGAGAGTCACACATGTTGTAGTATGTACCACGGGATTGCACTTCTTTTGATTACTAAATAATATTCTATCGGATGGATAGACCACTCATCCACTGACAGACATGTGGGTCATTGTCACATTTTGGCTATTGTGATATTTGCCGGTATGAACATCAGTGGACATGTGTCTGAGTCCCTGCATCCACGTCTCAGGCATATGCCTAGGAGCGAAACTCCTGGGTCACGTAGCAACTCTTAACTTTTACAAGAACCTCCAAACCATTTCCACAGCAGCTGCACCATTTTACACCCCCACCAGCAGTGTAAGTTCACACAGTAACCTGTCTCTTTGACTCTAGATATCCTGTTGTTCAGTGCCGTCAAGTGGATTCTGACTCATAGTGACCCTGCTTTCAAGAAGCAGCAGGCATCTGGTGGGTTTGAACCACTGACACTGTGATTAGTTGTTGCTAAGTGCCATCGAGTCTATTCCGACTCATAGTGACCCTGTATAGGGTTTCCGAGGAATGGCTGGTGAGTTTGAATGGCCAACCTTGAGGTTCAAAACAACTGTGAGGTCCAGTGCTTATCCTCCAGCATCACACCAGAACTCCATAGCTGCCCCTGTTGTTAAGTGTCATCAAGTCAATTCCAACTCACAGCAAGCCTGTACAGGGTGTCCGAGGAGCAACTGGTGGGTTTGAACTGGTGCATTCCAGTGCTTATGCTCACAGCACCACACCAGGGAGTCCTAGCTACACTGAGTGTCTAAAGGATTCCAGGGGATGCTGAAGGATAAGCAATGGAATGCTAACCATGAAGTCGCCAGTTCAAACCCACCAGCTGCTCCACAGGAAAGACGAGGTTTTCTGCTCCTAAAGAGATTTACAGCCTTGGAAACCCCTTATAGGTCACTGTCAGTTGAAATCAACTCGATGGTAGCAGGTTTGGTGTTTTGTTTTGTTCTTTTGAATGGGTGTCAAAAAAGCTCTAGTGGCACAGTGTTTAAAGTGCTTGGCTGTGACCCACAAGGTTGGCAGTATGAAGCCACCCGCTGCTCCACAGGAGAAAGATGTGACAGGCTGCTTTGGAAAAGATTTCGGCCTAGGACAGCCTCCGGACCAGCTCTACTCTGTCCTTACAGAGTTGTTCTGAGTTGGAATCCACTCAATGGCAACGGATTTTTAAAGACGACTGAATTTGAGCAACTTTTCAGGTGCCTATTGGCCATTTGGAGTCCTGGATAAGCACTGGACTACAAACCACAGGTGCTCCTTGGAAACCTTATACAGGGTTGCTATGAGTTGCAAGTGACTCCATGGCACTTAGCAACAACAATGGCCATTTGTGTATCTTTGCTGGAGACAGGTCTATTCAAATCCTTTGTGATTTTTAATTGGGTTGCCTGTCTTTTCATTGTTGAGCTGTTTAAGAGTGCAGGCACACCTCGCTAGACAGGGCTTCGCTTTGCAGATACTGACATTTTCACAAAGGAAGATCTGTGGACACCCTGCATCACAGAGCAAGTCTACTGGCGCCATTTTTCCAGCAGAGTGGGCTCACCTCGTATCTCTGTGTCTTGTTCTGGTCATGCTCACGATACTTCATATTTTTCCATCATGCTGTCGGGCAGATCATACACAACAGTCTAGTATCTACAGCACTTCTCTATGTGCTGGGAAACCAGAAATAATGTGTGCAAGTTGCTTTGAGATCTCATTTTATTGTGGTGGGCTGGAACCGAACCTGCATTTCCTGGTGGTCTGCCTGCACTTTACGTAATTTGGATCCTAGGTCCTTATTAGGTGTATGATTTGCAAAAATCTCTCTCCCATACTGCGTGCTGCCTCTCCACTCTCTTGACAGTGCCCTTGAATGCACAAACTTTTGTAAATTTTGATGAAGTCCAACGTCCTATCTTTCTCTTGGTGTGCGCTTTCAGTGGTAAATCTAAGAAATCATTGTCAAATCCAAGGTCATGAAGATCTGGCATGGGTTTTTGGGGGTACATCTCAGTTGATTCCAACCTGCTGCCTAGTGTGAGGATCACCAGTCAAGGGGACAACATCAGGTGGAGTGTTAGCAGGCTTCTGTCCAGGTCAGGGACACAGTGGATGTTCCATAATCCCCTGTGTTGTCCTCCCAGCCCTTTGGGCTGGGGGAGCAGACAACATCTGGTGAGGGCTCCAGTTACATAAGATGGTCCTGCGGAGCTCTGGGCCCTTGGCCCTGAGCAGAGTGGTCCTACTCTCTCAGAGGAGGCTCCATCAGCCTTCTCCAGGGGCAGCCACATCACCAGGAATGTGCTGGAAACGCAGAGGCTCGGGGCCCTGCCCAGCCTGCTGAACCAAATAGTCATTCAGAGCCATTGGTGGATTGTGAAGCCAGTCTTCTTGTTTGCTATTAGTGGCCATCGGATCAACAATGATTCATGGTGGCCCCGTGTGTGTCAAGCTAGAACTACTCAAAATCCTAACTCATTAGTACATCTCTAAAAGAATCAAAGCCAAGCGTCAAAACCATTGTCATCAAGTCGGTTCCGACTCATAGGGACCCTCTACCAAGTTTCCAAGGCTATAAATTTTTTTTTTTTACTAACAACTTTTTATTAATCTGCATCATTTTTACATAGTCATTGTTTGTTCTTCATGATAAGATGATTGTTTTACACAATTCACACAAATCAATGAATACATCAGTGCATACCAGAAGAAGCCTGTGTAAATGAAAACAGGTTTATCGACGATGGGAGGCGTCCCATGAACCACTCAGACCTAACTCTCCTCAAAACAAACATCACATAATGACACTCATCAAAAAAGACTTACGCAAAGAACCCGATGCACGTCTGCTGGTGGCCTCCTTCCCAAGAAAACTCTTTTTTTTCACTACCAGAAGCATGCAGCTGTGTAACTCTGAATCTAACTAAACACTTATAAACCATAAATCTACTTTAATATAGACCACGTTTTCTAATCAAGAACTTATTTTAAGAAGCACCTCATTATTTAAAATCAGAATTTAAAATAAAAATATCGGAAAAGTTCATTAGAGAGCATGTTTCTTAATTAACAAAAGACCATATGAAATTCCCACACATCTAGGACTTGTATTTTTCCTCTTTTTTCTTCCATTTTTTTTTTTTCAAATCAACTGTAAAATTTTTCATCCTAACATGCTTCTTTGTTTGCATGCTGTCTCCCAGTCTTTGTCCATATGGAAACACACTTCCGTTTATAGTCAGAGTACACGCAACAGTATCTTAAATGGAGCCAAGGCTATATAGTTTTATGTGAGTGACTGGTGGGTTTGAACTGCCAACTAATGCTTACCCTACAGTGCCACCAGGGCTCCTAAAAGGACAAATAAAAAGACGTTGGTTTGTTTTTAAAAGCTTTTTTAAGAGAGGAAAACATTACATGGTTTTCTTTTACGTCTGTTTGCCCTAAAGGAATGCTGTTACCCTATTTCTTCTTCATTCTTCTAGTCTATGAATGACTGCGATGGATGCTAAGAAAACAAGGGGGGAAAGACTGTGATCACTTAGAAGCAGATCACCCGGCCTGTCTACTGAGGTGCCACTGAGTGGGTTTGAACAGCCAATCTCTCTGTTAGTAGTTGAACACTTAACCCTCAGTGCCACCTAGACTCTAGACCTGCTGTATCAGAAACCCTAGAGCAGAACCTGGGAATCTGGGTCTGAATGTGATTCCAGGTGCCCTGCTTCCCTGTGACGCAGGGCGGGGTGCTCAGCGTGGACCCCATAGTGAGATTTCAGAGTTGTTGGGCCAGCCCTGCCCAGGGATGGCTCAGGGACCCCCTCAGCTTCCATCACCTACCTTGTCAGTCTCCCAGAGTGGCTGAACTGCTCCCCGAGGTAGAGGAAATTCACATGGCTCTGGGGGGTGGCACTGAGTCCATTTTCAACTCACAGCAAAGCCATGTGTTACAGAGTGAAACTGACCTGTAGTATTTTCTAGGCTGACATCTTTACAGAAACAGCCAAGTCTTCCTTATTCCTCAAAGTCACCGGGTAGGCCTTAACTATCAACCATTGGTCTGGCAGCAGAGCGCTTACCTGCTGTGCTCTCATGGCTCCTTAGAGTTCAAGGACGGGAAAATCTGTACCCTGGCCCTTTGTGGGTAGGGGTCTGGTAGCTCCCGCCTGGAACCAAGCCCACCTTGGGCACTGGAGGCCTGCACTGGCATCCTTCCCTGCCCCATCTCACCTGAGGAGGCTGGATGAGCTGCCAGAGTGGGACTGGTCACTCTCCCGGCTGGAAACGATGACCTTCCATGTCTTCCCACTGAGCTCACTGGGGGTGACACCCTGCCGGAAGTACATGGCCCGGTCCTCGCAGGCGATGCCCCAGACCTGGGACAGAGGGAAGCCCTGCAGGTCAGGGGCTGGAGCTGACACATGCAAGGAGGGGGGTGTTTATCTGCAGCCACTGGCAGGCATCCCCCAGCTGTGTGCATGCATGTGGTCATCTGGAAGTGGACATGGGGTAGTGTGCAAGTCAATGCAAGAAGGGGAGTCCAGCAAGGGGCTGGGGAGGCACTAGACCCCAGGGAGTGAGGAACTGAATCAGGGACTCCATCCTGAGCCCCTGGCCTCAGGTGGACTCAGGGCTTTTAGGTGACAGGTGTCAGTGGATGATGTGCCGTGACGTGGGGTCCACTGGTTCGTGCCGCCCCCATGAACCAGAGCACGGGCCTGTCTTAAAGATGCACAGTAACCTGCTTCATTCTGACCCCACTTGCCACAGCCAATGTGGCAGCAGGCAGGGCCAGGAGGGTGGTTTTCTGAATTGTGGTAAAGGGGCATGTCTACAATCTTCACGTGTGCAGCTCAGAGACCTGGGTTATGTTCATCGCCACAGACTGCTCCTGAATTTTATCATCACCCCGGATGAAAGCTTCATGCCTCCTCCATGGTGAGTCTGCCACTCCGCCCCCCCTGGTGACCATGGATAACCTCTGGTCTCTCTCCCACTGCCTTGATTAAGGCAACCACGCTGGGCAGCCAACCAGCCTAGAACAGCTCACGTCAGGCCCCTCATCTGCTCGGCCTGGTTAAGTGTGGATCCATGGGCTTTGTTGGGGCTGCGGCAGCTCCTCCTTGCCTAAGGCAGGTGGGCTGCAAACTCAAGCTGCTACAGTCCCTGAGTGTCCCAGCATGCCCCAGTCTCCCCGCTGGCCTCCATGCCTGCAGCCCTTTGGGCCATATGTGTCTGGGTTGCCAGGGTGGGTGGAGACAAAGGGAAGACCAGCAGCCCCACCCAGTGCGTGGGGGAGGGGGCTGCCCACTGGACCCATGTTCCTGGCAGCACTGTTGTCCGCAACACAAGTGCAGACATAACCCACATATCCATCGGTGGGTAAACGGAGTCACAACTATGCAGTGGACATATAATCGGGTAGTATTTGGCCACAAAGAGAAATGAAGTTCTGACGCCAGCTACCATGTGGATGCTGAGTAAACGTTATGCTGACAAAAGAACGTTGCGCTAACTGTACAAGGGGAACTTCCAAAAGTTTGTGGGGAAATGCCATGATCTGGTCATTCAATTTTTCCTTCCAACTTTTTTTTTTTTTTTGCAACAAAGCAAATATTTATTATAATTCTTCGAATGTTTGGAAAACTGCTAAACATTACAAAGCAAATAACCTCAGACTTTTTCCTTTTGGAAGCCTCTTTGCATGACCCCATGTATATGACATGTTTAGAACACGCACACGTCCAGGGACAAAGTGGGCTAGATTACCTGGGGCAGGTGGGAGGGGAAGCGGAATTGTGCTTTGAGGTTCAGTGTATGTTGTGGGGGCTGAAAAAGGTTAGGAAGCAGACAGTGCTAGCTGCACAGCACGGCCAATGATCTGACGCTGTGGACTTGTGGGCGTGAATGTGGCTAAATGTTGTTGAAAAACCTATTTAAAGCTACAAGACAAAACGCTATGGAGCACAGTTCTATTCTGACAGCAACAGGCTTAGTTTGGGTTAGACTTCAGACGCCCCTGCAATCTGGTGGTGTAACCTCGGGGACCATAAGCCCTTAACCCCCTGCACACCTGGTGGTGGAACCTGAGGACCCTGAGCCCCATCCCCCTGCACACCTGGTGCTGAAACTTGGGCCCCACCCTGCACCTGGTCATTGAGCCCCACGCTGATCATCACCATCTCTCCGACCATTTCAATCCAGCTGGTGCCACAGGGATTGTGTGAGTTGATGCCCCTCCGGAACCACACCTGGGGGAGACAGAGAAGGAACCATGGAAGGAAAAGGGTTCCTAGTTTCTTACAGCTCGGGACAATAAGTCCTTGAAATCTTTTAGGGGTAACATCTGCTACCTGCATACCCTCCTGCTCCTGACAGCACCCTGGGCTCTTGGAGGCTTCCAGCCCATCCTCTGCTGAAGGTGTTACTACTTCAGCAGACAAGTGGCCACCTGACTCTCCCTGGAACCTTCTCCAGACTGGAGACACTGTGGTGTTGCCTTCCTTCTTGGGACAAGGCAGGAATGAGCCAGTGAGGAAGGGACTTGTCTGTGGGCAGTGCCAGGATGGACACCAGCTACTGCCCCTAAGTCTAACCCTGTCCCTGACCCTAAAGTCTTAACCCTAGCCCCAAACCCCAACCACAGCCCTAAACCCTAACTCTAACCCTCTCTCTAAACCTGACCCTAAACCCTAGCTCCAAACCCCAGCTGTAGCCTTAAGCTTGAACTCTAGCTCTGACCCTAAACCTAAACCCTAATTTTAACCCTATACCTAAACTCTCTCTCGTCTCTAATATCAACCCTACAGTCTAATTCTAACCCTACCCCTTTAACCCTAACCATAACCCTAGCCCCTAAATCTAACCTAAACCCTCACATTTACCTAGCCCCAGCTGCTGACCCTTGACCCCTGGGCTGCCCTTCTCATTTCTCACACTACCACCCCATCAAGCGTTGTTGTTGTTAAGCGCCGTTGAGTCGGTTCCAACCCATAACGACCCTGAAACAGGGTTTCTGAGGCTGTAAATCTTTACGGGAGCAGAAAGCCTCATGTTCAAGCGTAAAGCTTGGAAAAGGCCATTCTACTAAAGGACCAGTTTCTAAACTGTTATGCTCACTTTAAGAGATGAACTCTTGAAACCTAACTTTTTTCACGTCAACTTATAAAATACACACAATCCAGACCCATCTTCCTCAGTCCTGCTGTGGCACTGTAGGGTCAGCACGGGACTGCTAACTACAAGGTCTGTAGTTCAAATCCACCAGCCACTCCTTGGGAACCCTATAGAGCATGGGTGGGGAACGTTCAGTCCTCGGATCATATAAGGCCCTCAAAATCATTTGGTCTGGCCCTGCCACAACAACCACAGTTCTAGCCATCACATTGTTGTTGTTTTTAAGTGCCATCGAGTCAGTTCTGACCCACAGTGACTCCGTAGAGGATTTCTGAGGAGCGGCTGGTGGGTTTGAACCTCAGACTTTGTCGTCCAAACTGACCTTGTGGTCCAATGCAGTGTCCTGCAGTGCCAAACCAAGGCTCCAGTGGTCACACAGGTGGTGAGTTAATTAAATGTTTGACCAAATATAGCAGGCTAATTCGTAAGTTTATTTTGTCTGATGTTATAAACATCCAAATGGCCCTTGGCAGAAAAAAGGTTATCCACCCCTGCTATAAGGAGCTCTGGTAGTGTAGTGATTACAAATCAGGCTGCTAACCTCAAGGTCGACAGTTTGAAATTACCAGCTGTTCTTCTGGAGAAAGATGAGGCTTTCTGCTCCCATAAAGATCTGCAGCCTCGGAAACCTTGTGTAGGCGCACTATGAGTCAGAACTGACTCCACGGGATTTAACAACAACAACAACAACAACAACCCCTGCTATACAGGATTGCTATGAGTCAGAAGCAACTAGTCTGCACTTAACAACCGCCACCTATAAACCCAGAACTCACCTGTCCCTTCCAATCCCTGCCCGTTCCCCTCACCTACCCCTGAATTCCCCAGTGGTTGTTCTGGCCCATTCTACATGCTGGCCTGGACTGGGGAGTCTGCACCATGTGAGTACTCATGGAAGCTGATTTAATAACAAAACCCTCAGACCACTCTCATCAAAATGTCTAAAGATCCACTTTCTTTTTCTCCTGAACCAGAACAAAGTTAGCACCGTTGAATATGTGTCTGAAGACGGAATAGCTCACGCAGATGTGTTAAGCTGTTAATTTCCATTGAGTCAGGTGCTGATCGCATAGCGCCACACCAGAAATCCAGATACACTAAAATTTTTGTTCGTGGGTTAATGTACTGGACTGCAAGGTTGGTTTGAACCACAAACCGTTCAAGCAGTTCAAGCTCACCAGCTGCTCCTCAGAAACCCTATACAGGGTCACTATGAGTTGGAACCGACATGACGGCATTTAACAACAACAAACAATTTGAAGGGGTAGCACTGTTTTCTTAGGCCCTAGGGTGCCTAAGACTGTTAGGGCACAGTCCTGTCTGTATGTTGTTGGACTGGGTGGTGGCCTGAGGCTTCAGAACTTTCAGCACTGGAGAAGCAGGTGCAGATATGGGAGACCCACTTTACACCCTACCAGGATGCGGGGTAGGCGCTCGCTCCATGTGTGGTTCAAAAGAACCCACAAGGGGAATCTGCAGTCAGCTTACTTGATTGTGCCTTCCCATTGATAAAATCAAAATAAAAACGGCAAACTTTGCTTAGAAGCAAGGGGAGTGTCAACTTGAGTGGCCAGGATTCTCAGTGGTTTGGCAGGTAAGATACAGTCATGTAGAGGTTTAATACAATTTCATTACTTCCCTGATAAGATCTACTATGACCAACCAGGCAAATGAAGGGAAGTTTCCTCATGTGTGACCTGCAGTATCTTTTCTCTTACAAAGATAACAGGAGTAAGAAGTGAACAGAGAAATGGGGACCTACTACCACCAAGAAAGGGGAGTGGGGTATGTCCTTTGGACCTAGGGTCCCTGCAATGTGAAGCTCCTGTTGTTTTTAAGTGTCAACGAGTTGAGTCAGTTCCAACTCATAGAGACCCTGTATAGAGTTTCTGAGGAGCAGCTGGTGAGTTTGAACCCCCGACCTTGTGATTCAAACTGACCTTACAGTCCAGTGTATTATCCTGCAGCGCCACACCAGGACTCTTAGAGCCTAGGAAAGACTGATGCCAAGACGCATGGAGATGTCCAAGGAATGCTGGACCTACAGATCCTGAAAGGAGACAAGAACCTTTCTCCAAAGCTTCTGCTCTGAATTTGAACTTTTAGACTCCTAAACTGTGAGAAAATTATTTTTTTTGCTTGGTAAAGCCAACCCCTTTGTGTTATTGCTGATACAGAAGCACTACAGAACTAAGATAGGAAGACCCCTGATTGATTGGGGGTCCCAGTAAACTAAACCAGTTGCCGTTGAGTCAGTTCCTTGAGTTTTGGCAATCTCATACAGGTCAGAGTCCAATTGTGTTCCACAGGGTTTTCAAGGGCTGATGTTTTTCAGAAGTGTAACTTTCTTCTGAGGTGCCTGTGGGTGGGCTCAAATCTCCAAACTTAACCATTTGTACCACCTAGGGACATCTCTGTTGTTGTTGTTAAGTTGTCAAGTGCCACTGAGTCAGTTCCAAGTCATAGCAACTCTGTATAGGGTTTCCAAGGAGTGGCTGGTGAGTTTGAACTTATGACCTTGCGGTTCAAACTGACCTTGTGGCTAAGTCCTGATCCTACTACAGTGCCACACCATCTGGTTATTTGAAATGATATAGTAGTATTAGGGTAAATACAGTTGTCCTGCATTTTTACATGGGGGTGGCCATGGGGCTGAGAGGGGATTCTGCAGACACCAAAAGTCCTGGAGATTGTCAACCATCTGGACAACAGAAGACACATGTTGCTTAATCTGTTTTATGGGTTTGGTTCTAAAGGGCTTGGACTACACTCTTTCTTT